TGCAGGTTGACTATCCGCTTCGCTGCAGGCCGAGCCTGTGCCCCTTGTGACTATGGCCAGATACGTCCAATCGTGATCTGGATTGTCCCGTTTTTCGGTAGAGAATTCGTCAGTATTTCACACAGTTGGGGAGGTGAGTTAGGTGCTGAAAAGAGGGATTAGGACAGCGTAATGCTACTTCCTTGTGAGGTCGGATAATCATCATTAGACGACTTCTGAAGATTCTAGTAAGCTACTGCAGCAGAGGTAAGGACAACAGGGTTAGTACTATATGAGGGGGATTTGATACTGACGGGTAGTGATTGCAGTTACGTTTTCCTTGTTTAGTCTGAATGGAGGCTGTTGGTTGGCTGAGGATTGGAAGTTGTTGAGGAAAACCGCTTATCATAGTCTGAACAGAGTGTTCTGTAGACTCAGATTGCAGTTGTGGACGACTGGTCGAAGTGCTGCTGTTAAAAACTGATGGGTACGACGGAATGTATTGGAGCCGATGTTGTCTTCAAACTATCAAGATTGCGCTAACATCGCCCCTTGGAATTGAGATGCATTAAAGACGGCTACACGGCTGGGAGTCTGGAGCTATTGCGGTACCTGGGAACCTTGAGCCTAGCAGTTGGCTGAAGTCACAGACTACCTAGTGCAGGTGGAACGCTGTGTTCTGGGCTATTGTTACTACTACTGATCCCTTCAGTGGGTTATTGCAGTGGTTGGGATCAGTATTACAATAAGGGTGGCAGTTGAATACTATACTGTCAGGCACTGCCATCCGCCGCATGGTTGTGTGGTGCTTGCTACATACGTTTAACCCGGTCTCAGTATCAGGGTCAGGTTCGCTTGGCCACTATGACGAGCAGGCGTAGAGCACGGATCATTGCCAAGGAGAGGGAAAAAGCTTATTACTGAAGACAGTGGGGGAATGACTTTTTGAGTTAACTACGGTAACAAATTGACAGGTTTCTCAGAAGGACAGACAGGTAATTAGCCAAGGAGATCAGGGCGACTGCATATACTGATTGCGGCTGTGACTGGGCGATTTCAGTTGCTTTTAACACAGATCTAGTTAAGTTGGTTGCTGCGCACAGAAACTGGGAATCTTACAGATGTTATTGTTATGCCCTCGAGCACAGTCGTAAGGAAGTTCCTCTCCAGCATCGTTGAGCTTTTTGACATATGGCACTACGGTTGCTACTTCTAGTATCTGTATACTGCTACGGTGGTTGCTGCGAGATCAGGGCCATTACGTCAGGTCACTGGGTTACCAGGACTGGTGGTTCTACGTGCTTCAGTAACTGCCTGTTAAAGAACACTTTGGATGCCTTTTCTTTCAGACTGTGCTAGGTGCCCTAACCATGATTCATGCCCACTCCTTTGGACATTGCGGGGCACTCATCTCAACGGTTGACAGTATATCCGCTCATGTTGGCAGGAGGGAAGAGGTTTTTTATGAGTTGTGTGGGTGGCAGGAAGGAGGAACGTAAGGATCATCGAGCTCGTCAACACGACCCTCGTGAGGAGTATGGCAGCAAAGCAACTGAGGTTTGCTGCTGGTGAGAAGTTACTGCTGTCACTTGGGAAATTGTGAGGGAAGGGGCATGTGCTCAAGCATACTGAGGAGTCCCACTTTGCGGTATTGAGCATACTGTTGAGTGCACTACTGTGCATTATGTTAAGTACATCGTAGGATGTACGCTGCTGTGTATTGAGCGGTACGGCGCTGTGACACTTTGTTGGGCACAACTTTAGGCACTACTGTGAAAGTCGGGCGCTGTTCCCCACTACGGACCACTGCTGTGCGCATCATATGCTACTGCTACGGTGGCTGTATCGTTACTGTTTTTTCGGAGGCTGCAGCCGTAGACTGGGTATTGATTGAGCCTTATTGGGCTGCTGCAGCGATCCAGTGGGGGTTGTTACAGTTACTAACACTGCTGCTGGATCGGGCTGCCACAACACTCAGGCTATGTGGCACTGTGTCTTTGAGGGATTGCTGCGGTACCACTTTGTTGTGCACCTAGTACTCTACGGTATTTTCGATTGGGGGATTTCGCTGTGCACCTTATTGTGCATTAGCTACGCACGACTGTAGGCTCGAGGGAGAGAGCAGACGCTGCTTGGGGCTATTGCTGTGACTTGGAGGGCAGTCTGGGGGCTCGTATTCTGCATTCAGGACAGGACTTGGCTACGTCTGCTGCGTTACTGGCCATCATTGCGGGGCCCTCAGGCGCATCCAGATTCCAAGGCCCTCTCCCGTGAGTCTGAGCGCATCCCCCTTGGACCTCGAGAGTCTACTCTATCTCCCTCTATCCTTCTTACTCTCAGTCTAGTCTGAGGCTACGATAGGAAGGCGGCAGGCGGGATTGCAACCCGTAGGACTCCGGCAAGACCTTGTGGGAGGTCCACCCACCGATTGCGGGAACTTTGCTGGAACCCAGGCGGGGTTCTGAAGGCAGGGAACTTCAGGTATAATTTCATTGACGCGTGTGATCCCTTCCCCTATCTACTATCCCCTGGGTATCTGAATACAACTATGTAAGGATATTACTTTCTGTTTAACTATATATGTCAGGACATGTATTGTGAAGGGTAAACCAACAGTTGTATGTGAGAAATCAGACTTTTACTCTGAGTGAATTCAGACAGAATGAACTGGGGGAAGGTGGGATGAAGGCGTCTGCATGCGTTTGACCGGGTCAACCCAAGGCTGAGCTCCTCTAAGTTGATGTGGGCTCAGTGCTGTGTTTTATTTATGGTTGCGGGGCTGACTGTATGATCTTTCTGGGATGGGCCTATCCTAAGTTGGAACGGTCCAGTCACTTGTTTCTTTTTGGGGTTTCTGAACAGGAGGACGGACACCCTAAGTTGGGAGGATTCAGAATCCTGATGTTTTTTTTATGGGTTGCTGAAAACAGAGCTGGGAATATTCTAAGTTGCGTAGACTCAGTTCTGTGTATGTTTCTTCTGAGGGGGACAAAGGCATGAGGTTGAGCGTACCCTTAAGTTAGGGCAGTTCAGTCATAAGCCATGAACAAAAAGATCAACTAAAGTATAAAATTTTGATATATATTATATGAACTTATATTCTGACAGGCCGGGCACCCTAAGTTAGGAAAGCTAGTCAGTTAGTCAGGTAGAACAAGAAAAAGAGAAAAGCAAATGAAGAATATAATAAAGGTAATTCGGGCAGGCTGAGCGTACCCTTAAGTTAGGGCGGTTCAGTCATATGCTCGTAATAATACAAAGGTGCAGAGAGTTAGTATAAATTTTCTTGTATTTTCCCTTCTAAACACAAGGCAAGATTGAATGTCTCCCGGTCGCGTTTAAAATCACCTCCGCGACTTGCACCTTGCTCACAGTGTGCCGACGTTGCTGGTCGGAGCAGCGCGAGTATGACGTGTCGTACTCACGCATGACTCATGTGGCACACACATGCAACACAACCACATACACACACACACACAATTTTTTTTAATTTTTTTTTTTCAAACTGCTCGTGCCCCCGGTAGCTTCCCACACACGCACGCCTGCCGGGGGTGTGCGTTCACTTTTCTCCTACCCAATGCCACGTGGCGCGTTTGAACGCGCTCACACACCCTTTGAACGTATGTTTAGCGCGTTCAGATGGTGCATGGAACCTGACTGTTTACAACTTGCTGGAGTATTCACAGTGCATGCGTAAATGTCATCACATAGATAAAGTAGTCTCACACAAAGCCAAGACGAGATAGAATGAGAACCAGATTTTGCAGCTCATATTATCAAAGTCACATTATACAAAGAGTATCTTGAGTTCAAGTGTCCAGCGCCAAACAGATCACAAGTCTTCTTCAATCATTTGTCAACAAAAGCTATAAAACACTCGCGGACGCGTCCGCGGGTCCGATCTCGGATGGCGGACGCAGATGGGGCTGCGTCCGCGGCCGACCTGGTCCGCGCCGCGGACCCGATTTTATCCGAATTTTTCTGAATTAAATAATAGGTTAAAATATATATATATATATATATATATATATATATATATATGGGGTTGTAGTGAATTTTAAGCCCTACAACCCCCTTTTTTTTTTTGGAATCCGACTTCGTTTACGATTAAAAAAAAAAAAAAAACTGAATTTGATTTTAAAAAAAATAAACAAATAAATATAAAAAAAAACTGGAGTTTTTTTTTGTCATTTTTTATTATGAGATATATGGTCTGTTGGGGTACGGATTTTTCAAGGTTGGAACCTTTTTAAAAAAAAGGAGGACTCCACCGGGCAGCGGCCAAAAAAAGTGAAAAGGAAAACAATGACGAGGCTTGGGTAAATCGGCCTAGTAGGGCTGTTCGATGTGAGAGATGTTTCCCGATAAGTAAATTTTAATATTTTTCATTTTTATTTTTATGTTTTATTTATTTTTTATTTTTCATTTTTCAATTTTCTTTGCTGAGTTGGCCGGGTTGTGTTACCAACGGTCATGTAGGGAGTAACATTGAGTCGGCACTGGTGTGGCCGTGTGGCGTACATAGTAGATAAAAGAGAGTTACCGGGAGTTTTTACTCCTCTTGGCCTGAGCAGCGGACAGAAGGGTCGAGCGCTGTACGTTTTTACCAGCGTTGTTGGGTGTTCTTTGCTGTGATACGTAAAGTCCATGGACACCTGATTTTTGTATCTATGCAAAAGAGTTGCAAGATCGACCATGCAGTAGCTTGGGGTAGCGATCTGGCAGCGCCATCGGTAACTTTCGGGTTGCAGATGAGCATTCGTTCGCGTCTTTCTATTCTTTCTTTCTATTCTTCACATGAATTTTGTTTTCATATCTTACTCTTGGTAGCTGGCGGGTCATTTTCACATCGTGCAGCCTTTTAGTTGGCCTTAGCCTTGACAATGTTTGGTTTCTTTCTTTCACTTCGGATTGGTGTACTGGAGCATGTGCCACTGACATGCCGGGCATGGTTGCATCCTAGCAGAGAGAGTGCGTTTGAGTTAGGAGTGCTCAGGACTTCGCCGGCTGAGGCCGGCCGGCTTGAGGGAATTTGGGGGTAGCAACGTCAGATCAAGCGAGGTTGGATGGTGTCTTGATCGTGGCACATGAGGGGGTGTATACGTGGTTGGGCAGGAGGTGGCGGTAGAGTAGAATCGAGGGTGGAGTGTGACGGATTGGTGCGCGCTCGTTACAATATTGGGTTACATTACTTCTTGCCAACATCGACGGTGTGGCATGGAGATGCCGCCATTGCGGACACTTTGAACGTGAGTGATTGTGAAGACTTCATTGGGGACGTGCGACGACGTATTCGTTGGCAGGTATCTGGCCGCAGCCGCCCTCGGAGATTGACGCTTATTCTTCACGTGTGACGAGCGTCGGATTTGTGAATCTGAATAGGGGGATACAACGCATGTGTATGCGTATCGCTTCGCCTTCAGATACCTCGTCTTCGGGTGTTATGTGCGGCGGTCGGCCGTTTTACTCCAGGTGACGATTTTTTCGACCAATCACATCATGGACGATTATCGTGGGAATGCCTAATATAGATACTTGCCTTCTGATACGTGGGGAAGGAAGCTACGGAACGTGGGAGGTTGCACCGTATGCGGGCGCAGGGTAGAGGAAGGGGGTGGGGGAGGTGGTCGAATTGTGGGAGGTATACGATGGAGAATACAAATCCACAACCTCCCCAAGCTTAACCACCTCTGCCTCCTTTCCAGTCTGCAACAGCCCCATCGTTTCCTCCTTTTCAAGCATTCTACCCGCATCCTTTCCCTGCTCCGCGATCCTTCCCGAATACCACCCCTCTGTATGCATTTCCGATGAGTCATGGAATGAACCCAGCTACTGCGAAATGGGCAGTTGGGGGTCCGAAATCAGTGCCTGCACAAATTCAGCAGGGGTTACGGTCGTGGTAACAGGAGCTACCAACCTCGTGCGTTCTTAACACGAGAACATGTTGACTTCATCGAGAAATTAAAGTTGAAAGACGTGGTGGAGGAAGCGCGTAAGAAGGACCTGGAGAAGATTGCCAGATTACGAGGACTTGGATGGGAGGTTGAGGAGAAAAAAGGTAAAGTACCTGACACCGGAGTAGAAATGCAAGGTAAAGGGAAAAACAAGAAGCAAGGTGGAAAAGACAAAGGGAAAGGGAACGTTGATGAGGTAGGGAAGGAGGAGGAAATGAAGAAGTGGATAGCCTCAAACTTTGGAGGTTCTATGAGGATACTGTCTGAGAAACTTGAGGAAGTAGAGAAGAAGTCGAGTTTAAAGATGGCTGAGATGGAAGAGCTGAAAATGCTGAGAGCAGAAAAAGAGATGAGAGAGTTGAGAGAAAATTCGAGCTCTGAAAAAAAGAAAAGGGATACTGGGTCTCCGGCAAAAAGGAAAGGGAAGGTCAGATCACGTTCAAACCTGCTGAGAAAAACAGGTAGAAAAGCAAAGCCAGTTGAAGTATCTTCGGACGAAGGCAGCAAGGGTCAGGACGCAGTGGTGCAGAATCTTAGCAGTAAGTTTGAAGATCAGTAGAAGGGAGCAAGGAGGTGGCCGAATTGAAAGACCTCATCAAGGAGCTTCTTGCAGCGAAAGGCAAAGACGCAAGCAGCAGCAATATGGGAGGAGAGCAGGGGACGATGAATGTGGCAAATGGGATGGAGCATGAAGGACAAAAAGGAGAGGCTGGTCCATCAAGCGGAAAATCTGAAAAAGGTAAAGAAACTGAAGAAGGTGTGTTGGGCCTGTATTTTAAAGATCGCGTTGTATAGTACGATGCAATGCATTATACAGAGATACAGGAACTGTGCAAGAAGAAGGGGGTACCATACAAGCGGAAAGAGGCTGGGGTATGGGAGCTAGCCAGACTTGACTTTGAGGTGCTATTGAAGATGGAGAAGACAGTGGAGGAGCAGGATGACATTGATGATGAGAAGGTGAGCGAAGGATCAGAGGACTCATCGGAAAGCGGTTCCAGCTCAGATGAAGAAGCCCAGGACGACGACATAGCGGGAAACTGAAGCATGCCAGTAAGCGTGCACTGTTGAGAGTTTGTAAGAAACTGGCCGGTTGGGCCAGTCACTACGAAGGGAGTATCAGTTGTGAAATTGGGAATGTTTCAAAACATTGTGCCTTACATGTGATATAAAATGGGGTAGGAGTTTCACTGAGTACTGGATGAATCTGAAGGAGGATGAATGTGCCAACTTGCTGACTGGAAATAGTTGTGTTTACCTTTTGATTTCCCCTTTCTTTAAGCCCACCTATGTTGGGAAGACAGAGAGGGCTTTGCATACTAGATGGTCCGAACATGTTCGATCTGCGGCCAGCGAGCCAAGACAAAAAATACATAGGTGGTTGGGTAAGGTAGACATCAACAACTATGTGGCAATACCGCTTTGGTTTGGGGATAAAAACGTACTGGCAAGTATGGAGAAATTTATTATTGGACGTATGAACCCAGGCTTGAACATGGTTAAAAAGAAAAACAAACCATCAAGGAGGAAACCTAGAAGTAAACGAAAGTCGAGGGGCAAAGGGGTGTGTTGTAAAAATGTTTTGCTTTTTTATTGTCAACAGCTAGGAATGCACTTTGAGCCTGACCTCCTAAGAATTCTAAAGCGCGCAAGGAACCAAAAAGAAATATTGTTGGTGAATAATGAAGGGGAGCAATGACTGAAATCGTGGGGTTTGGTCAAGCTCTTGTATGGCCATAGTAAAGTGGTAATTGGGAGGTGGATGGTATATTACGGATCTGAAAAAAACAAAAAGCAGATCTGAGATTGCTAAAGCTGAAGTAATAACCATTCTCAAACAACCACGGAAGAAAAAATAACTGTATAAAAAGAATCTGGAGGAATTAGTTGAATTAGGCCTGGAAGTTAAACTGTTGAGTATCAATCGAGGAAGACAAATCACTAGGGGTATTATCACCAGAGTCACAAAGAAATTGTTTGGTATTAACCCAAGACACAAGATTACTATTAAGCTCCTTTTTTGTGATTCGGTGAGTAAAAGGAAAGTACATGCATGTGGTAAAGAATGGATGAAGGAAAATATTGCTCCAGTTTGTCTATCTAATCTGTTGATTGGCAGAATCAGAACCGTCTGGCAGAAAAAGAAATCTGTCGGGGATATGCTGCATAATCACCAGCGTTTTGCAAGAGGAAGTGGTCAGACCTGCACTTGCAAAGACTTCGACCTGCCCAGATACAATGGGCATGTTCAGGTTATATTGGATGACATTGGAGGGATTTGAGACTTTGTAAAGAATGCAAAAAACGTACCACAGTCGGGGAGTCTCCTCACAAAAAAAGAAGTGAATATGGCATGCAACGACGCGCTGGAACCTTTGAAAAAGATGGGCGTGATTGGTCCGGGAGAGAGGATGCATGTAAATTGGAGAGAAATATGTGTAAAAAGTGACTTGCGCCACGTTGGCTATGATGCTGAGTACGTTATGGGGTTAAAACAATATTTTGCGGGTCTAGTGCTCTCACCACTAGACCGAAACTTGGGGGCGACACTGGTGGAATGCCCAGTATTGTATGAAGCAAGTATGACTATGATGTACAACGATAATGAGAATTATGAGAAGATTACAAAGAAAGAAGATGATGTCTTGACAAAAATGAGGATGCGGTATCAGTCGCTCAATCTACAAAGGGTTGCGAAATGAGACAACAAAGGGATATTCCAACCAGCCTACATCATATCAAAGGGC